TTCCTAGAATATTATGACTAAAACACTAAAGGTCAATTTGTCAACCTTCACGGTCGTTTCAAATAATCGTGTACATATATAAAATGAACCATAGATATGCTAGAGTGATATATCGCTTGTGCCTCGAAATTAGCGTGGGAGTGCAATTTGACTAACATTTAAGTTCAGAATGTTAAGGTTGAAGAATTATTGCCTAACCTATAGGACATGAAGCTAAAGGGTTGACTGCTTCATGTATAGACCTAGGTTCTATTAATAAAATACATGTTTCTAGATATTATACGTAGGTACCGTATGTATAATATCTCCTGTAAGTATCTTAAGTACTTACTCACCTACCTTTCTATTTCTAGATAACTGTTTTCGCAACATACGTACTTACATACGCTTAGCCCAATTCATTTTAGCTAAAATAATAAAAAAGGTATATAGTGAAAGGAATATCTTAGGTGACCAAATCAGTACGCTCCAACTAGAAAATTAAGGAAGTAGCGGGCGCTTCTCATGCATGACGGTGCGGTTTCGAAACCCGGGAAATAGATAAGTACCAATGTGAATTTTTCCTAGTTATATGTACCTACTTTCTATGATTATTTAGACACCACTGACATACGGTGAAGGAAAACATCGTGAGGATACCTGAAACTTTTAATTTCGAATTTTATGTTTGAAATCGCCAGTCCGCCTTGAGCAAGCGTAGTGATTAATGCTCAAACCAGCAGCAACAGCACTTTTAGGCTGATGATGAAGTAGGTACATAATAAACCTACTTACTTAGGTACCTAGGGTGCAGGTATGTATCTACTGTTTATAGCTATTTCTTTTTTTACAGAATCCTCATTGAAACTACCGCTAGTATAACATAAGTACCTACCTAATATTTGTCTAATTTCAAGTAAATACATCCCTATTTTTTTATGTAATAGATCTGCAAACGAGCAAACGGATTACCTACCTGATGGTAAGTAATTAGCGCCGCCCATGGACACCCGCAACGGAGGAGTTACGAGTGCGTTGCCAACCTTTTAGGGATTAGGGATTTGGAGATTTAGGGCCTCCTCAATCCCTAAATCTCCAATCTCCAATCACCCGATTGGGGGTGGGGAAGGTGGTCCGGTAACCTCACTCACACGGCGAAACATAACGCTGTGGTTGTTTCACGCCGGTTTTCTGTGAGGCCGTGGTCTCACTCCGGTCGAGCCGACCCATTCGTGCTCTCCCACACTTAAATTCACTTAATTTCATACTAATTAGGTATGTAGGTAAGTAACTAACGTCACCACACGTACCTATAACAATACATACATACCTATAGCTAGACTAATATTTTACGAGTACACGATTGTTTCCTACAATTGATTGTGTACGACAAATATTGAATTGTGGCTAAAAATATGAAGCAATACATGCATATAAAATGAAATACTATTTTTATGATAAGGTTGTGTTTGGGCCTTCGATCGTAATTCAAGGTCGTACGGTTATTGAATTTTCTATGTAGTTACTTCCTATGTAAGGAAAGTATGTTCAAATGACATCATCAAATCACCAGCCTATAAGTGCCCACTGCTGACCAAAAACCTCTTCTCACATAGAGAAGGTTAATAAATCACCTCGTATGCTCCAGGTGTAGGTATTAGTAATTTCAAACTAATAATTTATAAATAGTAGGTAAGTGCAGGTTTTCTCATGTTGTTTTCCTTTACCGTGTGTCTCAATAAATTTACAAAGTGTCTATGTCACCGAAAAATAATAAGATCCGTAAGTTTATTAATTTACTAGGAAGCTTATAAACTTTCGTAAGATTCTAAACGGGAGATAAATTGTAATAATTTACGTCCACATTTTCGTAAATTTATCAATTTCCGACGTCATACGGTAAATTTATAAAGTAACGAATATGTATTCGTAAGATTTTATATGGTTCGACCAATCACAGAACTCTTCTAAATATACGATCTTTGAAATACGTAAAATAACACACTGCTCTCTGATTGGTCAATGTTCATAGTGGCAATGCTTGTGTCCATAGACTTTGGAATAATCAGACTTGACAAACTATAAATTGCCTGGTTCCTCTCTGGCACGGATGCAGTGAGTTGAGTTTTCTATTATCAGTTTCAATAGCAAACCGGTTTGTTTATGTTCCATCGCCAGCAATGGCGGCCGAGAGAAAGGAGAAGTGACACGTGACAGCCAACCAATCAGATCGCGCGTAGCGTTTGGTTACTGCTTACTTATTATTTTACGAGTGAGTTCAGTAAGTTTATCAATTTACGAAAATATGGACGTAAAATATTACAATTTATCTCCCGTTTAGAATCTTACGAAAGTTTATAAACTTCCTAGTAAATTGATAAACTTACGGATCTTGTTATTTTCCGGTGACATCTACATATTTCTCTAAAAGATACACTGATGCTTGCCAGGTTTCTAAAACATTTTTTTATGTAATAGGTCCGCAAACGAGCTGACGGATTACCTGATGGTAAGCAATCAGCGCCACCCATGGATACCCGCAACGGAGGAGTTACGAGTGCATTGCCGACCTTTTAGGAATTAGGGATTTGGAGATTTAGGGATTAGGAGGGATTGGGGGAGGGGAAGGATTGGGCCTCCGGTAACCTCACTTACACGGCGAAGCACAACGCTGTGGTTGTTTCACGCCGGTTTTCTGTGAGGCCGTGGTATCACTCCGGTCGAGCCGACCCATTCTTGCCGAAGCATGGTTCTCCCACACTTGAACATGCGTAACGAGCGGAAGTCTTAACTTTTACTAACATGACATTTATTTTATGTATGTACCATACGGGATATTACGGCCTCACAGAAAAATGGCGTTTAGCTGCTACCTACATAGGTTTCGCAGTGAGGTTCTGAAGTCCCACATTCCACCCGTCCCTTAATCTACGACAGCCCTCATGCCAAGAGGCCGGCAGTGCACTCGTAACTTCTCTGATGTTGCACGTGTCAATGGATCGCGGTGATTGTTTATCATAACGGTATACGTATGACAGTCTGCAGTTTTACATAAAAAAGTAGATATACATATATCTCCAAACAGTTCTATACTTCAGTTTCGAGTAAAATAAAAAACCAATATTCAGTTCATGTATTATGAATTTAATTAGATGTAAAAAAATATCGCTAACGAATTAAAACTACTTACAACTAAATTACTTAATACTACTTAGATACAATTAAACAGACTGCAAAGTTACATGAATCGCCCTTAACATTAGTGAACATTATTATTCTTCAAATAAATCAGCCTTTTTAATATAAAATTGTACACCACAGCAGTTTCCAAGTAGTCAAATTCAATACTTTTACTATAATGCCAGGAAATATACTTTTCTATGACTTTTGTATTACTTCTAGTGCAGATCGCAATTCGCAACATGTGACGTCATAATGTTTTTACGTCGGATATCAAAAAAATATAGTTTTTTTCTAAAAAGTGCTATAGGTACCTTTTTAATCAATGACGTATTATATATAGACACGTCATGCGCCAACATCGCGGCGCTTAAAAACGGCGAAAATACTAGATAACTACTTCTACGAGTAAAGAAAGGGAAAGAAAATATGACATCGTATAGTGGAATGCCTTTGCTAGAGGGAGATAAATATACATCTTCAGTTACATCGGCACGTGACTATACCTTCATGCGCCGGCCGCCATAAGATGGCGGGCGCCGGCGTCGAAAAAATAAAATAAAAATAGGTTGTTTGGTGAACTTACGCATGAAATGACACATTTTTGTCTTTAACTTTTGGAGTATAATTTGTACATCGTCTGAACACACACGACGACATGCTTTCTTTATGTTTCGCACAGGTTTACACACACGATATAAATTAAAAACAAACGTAGCGTCGCGCGGCAGGTTGGTGCGTAACTAAGCGCGATGTTGTCAATTGCCTTCATTTCATGTTGTCATTTTAGAGCGCGGACAACGTATCTATAGTTTTATACATCATTGTTTCTAATTAAGTATATCGTCAAATTAGTGAACGAAAGTAGGTAGGTATATGATTAGAATTGTAATAATTCATTGTAGATATTGAAAAGTAAAAATAATGTATTTTTGACTTGGGAAGCCACCTAGTACCTACTAATTGATAATTTTAATACGAACATGGATGAATATGAACAAAATTCATTCCAATATGTGTGTACTTATCACAAATACTTTTATGTAAGTATGTAATATTGTAATTACAATTCATCTTTTGCATAGAATTACCCCCGGTTTCCGAAAGGCTGATCAATTTTAAAATAAATTTAATCTCTTGTCAAGTCATCTGATTGGTTGACCGAATTATCAACAACCAGACTTGACAAGAGATTTATTATAAGTTAATATTATGATAAGTTAATTTTAGCGTTGATAAGCCTTCCAGAAACCGGGTGTTACTGTTCGTACTGGATCTTCATCTCTGTGTCTGAAATTATATTAGACACGGCTGACCATTATCTTTCACAATTCATACAAATTAAATCAATGTCCAAGGCTCAATCGTAGAATTGATTGTGATATTTCAATCATAGTTCATTGTCTTCTGTTCAAAGTATGAGATAATAAGTATTTTAGAATAACTGTGGAAGGCATTCATAGATTTTTTCAGGATTTTCTCCTGTGTCATGGGTACGTTTACAAACATAGGTAAAGTTCCACATCAAACCAAGACCCAGAACAACAATTTGTGGATCACCAAAGAGTTGTTCCGTGCGAGAATCGAACCCGCGACATGTTTCGTGGCAGCCAGTTGCCCAGCCACCGCGCTAAAGAAATGTTCATATACCAAACTATCAGAAATCCCCAGCTCCTACGATAAAAGAAGAATTATGTAATCAGGTACATGAAAATTAGTATTTTTTTTCTCGATTATCAATATTGACATTTGTTTTGGATTATGTGTTTTATGACCCCATGTTTTATTGGGTTAAACATTAAAAAATATATTTGCTAATTAAAAGCTAAAAAATGACGAGTATAATTTAAATTAATAGTGTCATTATTTTTCGCTATTTAATAAAAGTAGAAATAATATGTTTTTGACTAATCAAGTACCTGATTCAATCCAGTACTTTTGGAATTACGCACATAATAATGGTTTAGCGATTCATTTTAATGGTTTGCAATGTTTATAGGGTCTGTCTTATAAAGTAGTCTATACACCAGTTAACATGCCACCTCCACTGCTATTCTGTAGTTTCGCAATTTCATCTTTAAACTTATTAATAGTTTCTTTAGCCAAGTGTAGCTTCTCCTTAAGTTCCGATATTTCTGTCCGGACTTTAGTTTGTGCTGCTATTATCTTCTGTAACGTTTTTTCTTTCTTTTCTTCAACTGTAACAAGAATGAAACAGATTTTAGTAGAATAATATTAAGAAAAGAACAAAGTTCAGAATAAACTTTAATAGCCTATACCTATAGCTTTTCCCGATAAATGATCCAGATTAAAAATAATTATTCAATTGGAACAAGTTCAAAAGAACAAATAAGCTTTTCATGCTTGAACCATTAGTATAGAAATATAGATTAAGTTATTAACTAAAAATCGCGGGTTCCGCACGTGTGTTTTCTCAATATATACACGTGAGTAACCCGCGATTTTTAGTTAATTTAGTATGTCTCACGATAGTTATTATAAAAATTAAGTTCTCATTCTAATTGTTAATTAACTATTTAAAGCCAAAATACGTCGAGCAAGGATAGCTTGACGCTCGACCAAAACCAAACCAGAGCTTACAGCGTGCGCCTTAGAGAGCCATCATACTACTATAGATAGTGCCCAATAGAACAATGTTCAGCCAGGGTTTGGAGCGTAAGCTTAGTAATGTACCGCGCTCCTGTCCCGGAGTACGAGATGGTTTTTAGTCAGTAAAAGTATGTCTCTTCCTGTTGCCTCATCCAGGAAAAGACATTTGATGTATAATGTCGACCCTCAAAGAAAAGGATGAGCTGCAACTTGCTCAACCATCTGCAACAACTATGTACCTATAGTCAAATCAAGACTTCAAAAAAAAAACAAAATAAGTGACTATTTCTTACAATCTGTATCATGAGTCCAAGGTCCATTGGTGATCGGTTTAACACTGTTCAGTAAATGTTGCATCAGCTGTGTCGGTTCTTGGAACACTATCTCTTCATAGGATTCACTGACCAGTGCCCGACCTACTGCAGGCGGAGCACCATCGGCTACGGGCGACTGGAAGAGCTTCAAAATGTGATAAAGTGCTACCTGTAAAAAAATATAAGTTTATTATAGATAAACTTTGCAGTGACAGCAGTGAAGAATGCATTTATTTATTTATAATCACTTCTTTCCGTGGGTGGGGATTGACATGACTAAGAATGTGTCACAATATCTGAATAGCGATTGGAGGTTTGTCTTAAGAGAATACACAAATTGTCAGTTGATAGTTTTTAAATGATTCAGTTTTTTAAACAGTTTATACAATGTGTAATGAAAATTATAACAATTTATGCCCAATTCCCATACCACCATCCCCATAAAGCCGGCAACACACATGTTACCCCCCCCTGGTGTTGACGGTTGTCCATGGGTTGCACTGATTGCTTATTATCAGGTGCAAGGTTTCATTAAGTTGTTTGATGCCCCATCTCATACTAAAAACTCATACAGTTAAATGCTCATTAACAGACAATTTATACAATCACTATTACAACATTTACATTAATGGCCATAGCTAGTTCGAAAATATTTTTTAAATTAAATTTAAATTCCATATTTCCTAGAGACAAAAAAAGAACGAAAAACCTCTAGTTTTTCGTCGAACTAGCTCAGCCTCTGTCTGTATTTTGTTTGTAAACTGCCACTGTATTGCCAGATTAGATAATTCCTGTTTTGCTACTTTATTACTGAAATGACTCCTTGGCTGCATTGTGGCGACGCGATACAATCAGCTGATGCAGTGTGTTGCAGGTTTAATTCTGGCATGGAATAACTCTCTGTGCTCCACAAATTATTTCTCAAATTGTATTATATAATTTAATGTGCCCATGACACAGGAGAAAATCCTAGAGTAGCGCAATATTGTAAAATAAACTATTCAAAGTACAGCTTGCTATAATACATATTTTTCAAAAAACTTACAGGTCTTTCATTGGGATCATGAAAGTAGATCTTTATAACAATCTCGAACTCTCCCCAGCCTGTCTCAGTCAGCTCGTACGGTTGTTTCGTCACTATTCTGTTAGGGTTGGCATAACTCTCATGTAATTTGAAGTGGACTTTCTTGATGTAAGCAGACATGTCCTCGTTGGCATAGGGTTTCACATAAACAGTCCATTGGTGAGTGTGGCCATCTTCTTCACGCTTTTTGCCAAAGTATCGGGCTACATTCCCGTATACTATAGGTTTTACTATCACAAGACCCTAGAATATGTACAAATGTTTGTTATTAACGATACCAAAACAATAACAAGCAAAGACACAATTCGAAATGATAAGTTGATAAAGCGTGTCTATTTTATAAAATGCAGTTGATTTTATGTAATTGAAGTATTAATAAACCCGTGAAAGTGCTAAAGCACTTCAATACATTATAATTGACCACGAAATGCATCTTCAAGTGTTTCGAGAACTTTCCTATGAAAACTGAAGAATGTAATTTTTAGAAAGTACTTACTTTGACTCGGCCCCCTGAATCGGGGCCAAAGTCAGTTTGTAAGCTCATATCCAAATCTATTTTGGCCGACAGCTTGGAATTTTAATAATAACTGTTTTGTAAACAAAGATAACCTCACTTCGCGCGACTCTTTCGAATGTCACTATGACTTTGACATGTCTGAGTCTGACGTTAACGGTACCTATACTATTTCTTGGGTCGGGATAGTTGCCTTATGCCCCTATTTTTGTCTAGTAACAATTTTAAACGGAACACACATTTTTTTTTAGTTATAAATACTTTCAAACATATCTTTTGAATGTTTCATGCTTATTTACGAATTATCTGAAATTCTGCCCACTTTTCGGTGTTTACTGTATTATGTAAATTAACATTGTTGAAGATACCTACGTATATAAAGTTGTACAGTTTTTCGTATCCATTTTTCTATAGATATTATGCCCAATGCACTTATTATTCTCTTTGTTATATGTATTAGAACTTACAATCACGCAAGTAGGGTGTCTCATTCTAATAACTAGTAAATGAAACAACTGTTTATTTATTTATTTTAATAATTACATCTTATTAGAAGGCAAGTGAACAATGGTCCAACAAGCTCTTTTCTTAATCGCGATATAATAATTGAATAATTAACATTAAACTAACTACATAATTGCGTAGGCTCTAAGATATAATGAGCACAGTAAAACAGTCACAACATTGAGAATTGAATGTGTTGCCGTCACATGACGTCTGCGATCGGGCGGGGTTCACTGTTTAGGCCGTTTGCAAAAAATACAAAACATACATTAAAACCTTAAACAATGACATGCACTTATTGTAATAACATCGATGGGATCACAATCATGATTCCAATATCTGCCCACGGAACATTTATACAAAATTATTTAAGCCATCAGTATCCTGGTGTGACATCTAAAATTTGTGGTCAGTGCGTTGCTCCAGCTCTGCGAGCAGTGGATCACTCTCCTCCTCAAACTTTGAAGATCTGGACCCATGTCGTGAAGCTGACACTCTTTGGGAAAATGTAAGGAGATTGGGCACAAGGGAGCTGCACGGAGTGGCTGGAGCTGATCGTGAAGAGGTCCGAGTTGTAGGGGAGATTCTTGAAGTCCTAACAGGGTAAGCTACTGACAATGGCATGTATAAGCTCGTTTTTCGTTGCCTTGGCGTTTTCTTAACGCTCTCAAGGCGTCTGTGACGTCTCTCGTCACTCGTTCTCCTTAAAGTGGAGTCTCTGGATGTCTGTGTGGGACTGGTTGGTTGCGGCGGCGACTCCGGTGGGTCAGGTTTGCCAGTATAGAACTGCCGCAAGCTGCCGTACGCCTCATGCATGTACATATTGTTATCGTCGTCTTCGTCGAGTGACTGGTGAGTTGGAGGGGATGAACCAAGTCTTGGCTTACATCCCCCATCGCAGTACATCTCGCAGTCAATAAGCTCCAATTCAAGGTCAAAAGTAGAGTCCTGGAAATGCGTAAAAAGATTTTTAATGTGGTTCCACGCTAAACACTTTCGAATTATGAAGGAAATCAAAATATTAAAGAGAATGGATAAAGAAATTGTGTGTCCGGATTGGTGATGGTGATTGGCAAGAAGCATTATTCCAAGTTATTAAGCTGTGCAGTTTCACTAACCAAGGGTTGGACAGGTGAAGTGATTAGATTGTCCCGGAAGGCAGCGGGTGGGTCTCGTGGTCTAGAGGGCATGGGTTCGGTGCGGGAACGCTGGGGGACCGGTGCTGGGGCGGCGCGCTGCTCCGTTAGCGAGGACAGGGACCGTAGCAGTGGTCCGCAGCCCACGCCGCACTCCTCGTAGTTGTTCGCGCACGAGTACGGCGGTGGAATGATTGAATTTGCCTGAGAACATTGTTGTAGAACTGATTTAAGACTGTAAATCTCCTGTGGCTATTGGTGAATGGCATTAGGTAATGATAAACTTTAAGGTCACTGAATTCGCTTTAAGAGTGCATCGTTTATTACTATCGCAACGTTTCAAGAGGCTTATTTATCTACCTAATATTTAATATATACCTAACACAAAGTACTACATGGCTTGCAAAGACATACCGAAGCCTTACAATGTCAACAACTGTATACTTGGATGAAAAATAATTGCAACTGACTATCCGGTTGAGTCCAGTAATCAAGCGTGAGAGAGCCATACTTCTGCCAGCCTCCGGCCAGCTTAACTTAAGTGATACCATGGCCTCACACAATACCGACGTGAAACAACGCTCACGTGAATGAGTGTAGTTATCGGAGACCAAATCCTTCCCCCTATCCTCAATCCCCAAAAAGTAGCTTCTTGGTATTACGAGTGTCCATGGGCAGCACCAATTGCTTACCATCAGGTAAGTAACACGTTAGCTGTTTAGTAGACCTAAGTACCGATCCTGAAAAATGGCATACATAACTTTATCAGGTTTAATGATAACATGCAGTATTACCTCATTTGCCGCGTTGCATATGAAACTGGAGTTGAGAGATTCGGCAGTACTCGTCGCTGATAGAGAGCCTGAAACGACAAAAATGTATAAGTATACACACAATTTTCCCCAAAAAACTAAAATAATATGAAATACTAACACTTGTGACGTTAAGTTTAGCGAGTCTCAACACCCCTTCGTGCTTTTTAAAAGCCTTTTTTACGGGATCCAACATTTTTGACTAACATTGCAACCGTTTGATTTGATCCACCGCTTCCAGGCAACTGTTTCTTCTTAGCGGCTAGTATCTAATTCAATTAGTTTGAAAGCAGGTCTCTTGAATAAGCTATGAAGCCGATTAGATGCAGACTTAGTAATATTTTAATCATGTATGTGCAGCAATTTGTTCTGTTCATAGCAAAGCAATCAAGTTATGAGGAATAGAATGTTTCATTTTGCTAACGACCTTTTGAAGTAATAACTTATGATGCACTCCGTTACTTGCTAAATTAGCTTGTTGTCGTTTTGACGTGTGAACAATGTGACTGTAAAATGTGGATATAAATAGGTAAATACCTGGTGCACGAATCACATAGTTTCGGAAGTAATGAACCATGAGATAGTTGCCAGCTTTAGCATCACCCTCACCGCAAGTGATGACCAGAGGGTACAGATCAGGTTTGGACGCGACCTGGAACAATATAAAAAGCAATGTATTAAAATCTGTATATACTTAGTCGTTATTTTATTAATGATATGAAACTTTAACATTTTGAAACATTTAATAGATACACAATAAAAAGCACTCTATGCCTTATCATTCTAGTTTTAAGGGTCAAAGCATCGACACAACAGCAGGACAATCATGCAGACATCGATCACAAAAACAGCAGGAATCCTTCTTTTTTTTAAATGATAAGTATCAATAAAAAATAAAACTGGCGAAAACAAATAAACCTCCAACTGAAGTAGTTTCACAATAAGTATATCACTTCAGAATACGGTGGTGGTGCCTGGTGGAAGGAGCCGCAGCGGCTGTAGCGGGGCGGCGGGTACACCGAGCCTGCTGAGTCGTGCTCAGAGGTTGGCCGCCGCACGCAGCACGCCATCGAACACATGTACACCCCATGCCCTGATGGCCTCTTGAAGAATAGACACCAGATGCAGCAAATCAAAATACCGCCAAGAGTCCCAAGAAGAAACAGTACCGGCCTGCAAATTAAAAATAGCCAATTTGTAGTTGTTTCACAATTCTGTTTTTTCGTAATTCTCTTTGGTAGTGTGTAATATTAGGTTTAAATTATTATAGTGTAATATTTAAAACGTGGCAACGTAGTTAACTATTTTTTAATAAAGGTCAAATATCAATCGGCCTTTGCCAAAAAAAATAATAATTATTATATGTATTTACAAATAACGGATCGCTCCCGCTTCGCAAGGGTCCAGGGGCCCGAGTCTACTGTATTCAAAGTGTTGTCATTCCTACACGATTCCATTGTCATTTTGCTAAATGTTCGTAATCTGTTAATTCAAAATGGCTGATTAGTGGCGTTCGGCGATGTCGTAATGGATTCTATAGTACGAAATGTTTTGTAACGAATTATAAACAATAACTGCACATTAATATTCTAAACGTAAATCATTGAATAAAGGAACTGACATTTTTTTATTAATTTTCCACATTATGTCAAATATTCATTTGTCATTATGTACCTACGAGATTACCGTTCTAAAGAATTATTTCAATGAAGTGGCATTGGAAAGTCATAATGACGCTATCGTGTTAGTAGATTACCAAACTTGTCAAAATCAACAATTTTGTAACCAGTGATCTACTATTCTGACACTATTGTAAAAAGCAGACTCGAGGCCCAGCTATCTCTCAATGTCACTTTTCGTTGTAATATTATAGCTCAACAAAGCTATTACTGATTTGGCTAAATTGGTCTTAAATTATTGGTAGTCCAGAAAAGTTTTAAGTACGTAGAGAAAATAAAAAAAAGTTCAATCGACATCCACGCGTGCGGAGTCGTAGGCGACCGCTAGTTATACTTATTATAGAATTATTATGTTAATTTTGTCAATCTTACCACTGCGCATACCAAGCATAGCTATAACTATGCTCTTTAAGAGGTGGTTCGTCGGCATCTCGCCGCGAGAGAATCGGTGGTGTTGTGTTAACCCGTCGCGGCGGGTTTACTGTCGTTACGGAGCCGGCGTCGCAGCACCCGAGTTCGCAGCACATCCACTGCGTAGGGCATGAGTGCCCCTCCTGGCACAGCACTTCAGTCACGCACTGCAAGTAAAATAAAAGTTCTTATGTTAATGCCATTGGTCGAGATAAACACGACGATGTCTAAACAGACAAGATAGTCTTACCTAAATGTAATTTATCTGTGATATGATTATAAATTGTAATAATTTCTCATGATTATGGCATAGGTCGGCAAACGAGCAGATTAATTGCCTGATGGTAAGCAATCAGCGCAGCCCATGCACACTCGTCAAACTCTCATACCAACTAAGTTACTACAAGTGCGATTTGTAGATTAAGGATGGGGAAGGATTGGGCCTCCAGCTACCTAACTTAAACAGCGAAACACAACGTAAGTGTTGCTTCACGCCGCCGGTATTCTTTGAGGCCGTGGTATCACTCCGGTCGAGCCGATCCATTCGTGCCGAAGCATGGCTCTCGCACTCGCACAGTTAAAA